AGAAATAGCTGTGTTTATACATACATACATATTAGGGATGTAAATTTTTCGGCTTTCTCCGATCCCGGGATTTTCGGGATGGCGTTGCCACAATCCCGAGATCCCGGGACTAGTCCGGGATTTAAATATTCATTACTTTTCAACAACTTTAGTCGAAAAAATTGCTTCTATATTCTTTGAGAAGCTCTTCTACCATGAAATAAATAATAAATAAATGGGTTTGAAAACTACTTTTTTATTTAAAGTGACGTTTTTATTTTTTCTCTCTGACCGCAGGATTTATTTTGAAGGACTTTGTTATTTCAAAGATATGGTTAGTTTCAAAAATTATTAAAAAAAAATTCAAATGCAATAGAAAATTTCTTTAGAATTTAAAAAATTTTAATTTTTTGGATTCACAAGGACGAAAAGGTAATTTTTAAGCTGACAAAGTTAGAAGAACGAAATTCGAGGTTGTTATGGAGTTTATATAAACCCTTAACACATAATTTTTTCAAAAACAAATACTGCGAAATTTCAACGATAAAAGTTTAAAATGACATTTTCAATATTTACCAGCCCTTCTGCACCAGAAACTTGAATCTGCTTCAATTCTACAGGATTTCCTCATTAGTTTTATACCCATACTTCTCCTCTAAGCACATTTCTATGAATTTTTTAAATCATTTTTGACTTACTGATGTCAGAGTGAAAAACTCGCGAATATATTGATATTTGTGTTTAAAATTTACTATCGCGCGGTGTTATATCGTCATTTAAAGTGTAAAACCGCGTATCAACAAAATGCAAAACTGCGTATGTGAGGTTGCATAAATTATTTTTTAGAGAATAAAAACACTAATTTTTCAAAAAGGCTTGTGTGCGAAAATCCAACTATTGGCAGCAAATGTCAGTTACGCGGGTTTGCCAAGAGTCCCGGGATTTTCGAGACCTTAAAAAGTGCGGAATTCCGGGATTAGCATTCCTAATACATATACATATTTAGCATACGTAGTAGTGGTAAAGGTAGAGGTTAGAGAATCGCCTTGGATCAACGATCCTAAACCGGACTTGAATAAATGAATGTTGCGAATTTTTGGGATATACTAGTAATGTATATGAGAATGTACATATGTATGTACGCATGTGTGTGTTAAATCACCATTCAGGCCATTATTGGTGTCCCACTTCTTGCTTGTGTTCCGAGAATCGTTTACGTTCAATAATAATCGGCTGCTCAGCCAAATGGTATCTATTATTGAACATCAATAACATCCTTTTCGATACGAAAACAAACTGATCGGAAGTGAAAAGTATGTAGGTATGTACATACATATGTATGTGTGTTTTAGCTTGTTGTTTTTAGCTTCCCTGCAGGAAAATCTGACTATTATTCAATCCCATTTTATATTTAAAAATGAATGAGGAGCCCACAGGATAAGTACTCGTATAATTATCTATGTACATATATACGCTAAATATCTACGACATTACCTTTCCTGATTGATGATATTACAGTACATTTTTGAAGTGAAACTTCTTTAGCGGCGGTTGGTTGGTTGGGAGTAAATTGGCAAATTCAAAGAAAATTGCACACGGAAATGGTGCAACGGAAATGATGCAACGGTAATGGTTGGCACTGAAACAAGTGGTATTTATTTAACAAAAATTTGCTAATAAAAGGTTAAAAAATAACACTTAGAAAAATACCAATACAATAATGAAAGTAAAGGTGAGTACGTACATAGATAAGGAAAAGGATAAAGGCAAAGGTAAAAATAAAAACAAAAAAAGGAGGGGTGAAGATAAAGGCAAGGTTAATTTAAACAATTTACTTATATATATTAGGGCAAAGGTGAAGGGGAGTATGTAGATGAAGAAAATTATAAACATAAAAGTAAAGACAAAGGAGGAGGATGAGGATACCGGTAAAAGTAAAGATGAAAATAGGGGAAGAAACATTAAAACAAAGGTAATTAAAGAGGATAGGATATAGAGAGAGACACAGAGACTCAATCTGGGAACTATTTTGGGATTTTAGAGAATTTCGGGATTTTCGGGACTTATCCATAAAATAATCGATATTTTCATTGGTTTTGTTATCAATACTTTTATCGATTTGTTATCGATATTTATCCATTTTTTATCGATATTGTTATGGATATTTTTATCGATTTTGTTATGGATATTTTCATCGATTTTGTTATCGATATTTTTATCGATTTTGTTATCGATATTTATCGATTTTGTTATCGATTTTGTTGTCGATATCTATAGATTATGTTATCGATATCTATCGATTTCGTTATCGATTTTGTTAAAGATTTTGACGTCGCTATCTATCGATTTAGTTATGGATATTTTTATCGATTTTGTTACCGATTTTGTTATGGATAATTTTATCGATATTTTTATCGGATTTCTAATAGATTTTACTACCAATATTATTATCGATTTTGCTTTCGAAATTTTCATCGATATCTGTTGGATATTTTGCTGGATGTTACTAGCGATTTTGTTATCGATAGAGTATAAACATTAAAGTGAAGATAAGCAAAAGCAGATGTATGTATGTGTGTATGTATGTACATATGTATATATATTGGTTATGAGACAAAATAGATATGTACATACGAAACGTAAGTTTCACTTCTCCAGTGTGGCCCAGGAGCACTTACTTTTTTTTTAATAACCGGGACGCAGCACAAGCTAATGGCAAAATAAATTCGTTTTGTAACAGGTTCAAACTACCACTGAAGTGGACAAGAAATAAATGGTTGAAAGTTTCAGATTTTTATTTTAAATTTCCTTATCGAAGGCTAACTTATGTATATTCAATATGATTTATCTGCAATTTTCACAAAAATTACTCTTCTGATATATACATACATAAGTCCATCTGAGCCTTAACTGTCATCGACCATTTTAAATCTAATTTTATATATCGCTTGTTAATAAACTAAGGTACTGGTCCAATGCAGGCTGACTTTACAAGCCTTGCTTACTTTAATTTGCTGTGATTTACTTTGAAAACCTATTTGACCAAATGGCGGCTTAGAACGCTGTCAAAGTCTATTCCCCTAAAATTAAGAATTATTTTCCCCCCTGCATATGTCTATACACGCTTGCACCATTTTTAACAAAGCAAAATATTTTTAAAAAAGTCTATAGCAAATTGTTTGCATTCATTTAGAATTAAAGTGTACATCTTATTCTAATATAATATTCACAATTATTTTCATGCTTTAATTATTTATGAAGATTCTATATATAAACCATATAAATCAAAGTTTCACACTTTATATAAAGTTGACAAAATTTCAAAAAAAAATGCATCAAAATTTTCAACTTTTTATTCAGAATTTCTAGAAAATTTTCGAGTACGCAGGTTTGTAGCCCATTCCGTTTTAGTCTAACGAAGTGCAAGTCTCAACCGGCTAAAAAATCGCGTTGATGTTTGAGATTGTTTTTTTTTCAGACTTCTTTTTCGTTTTTTTTTTTTTCATTTTGTTGCGAACGGTCTCCCGCATTTTATTTGATTGGAAATTCATGCTTATAAAGAAAACAGTGCAAAAATCGTCACAAAAAACTGCATACTCGTAGCTCTGAATAAAAAGTTGAAAATTCTGATGATGAAATTTTTTGAATTTTTGTGAATTTCATACATTGAACTTTGATTTACACAGTTTATATTATTGAATGAACTATATTTTCATAAATAATTAATCCAGTAATCATGAAAATAATTGTTAATATTATATTCGGACTAGGTGTACACTTTCATTTGTCGCCTAGTGTATTTACATACACACATACTTCAACAAAAAGCGATGTCAAATAGAGATTTCGGCTACTCGAAACTTTAAAGCGCTTCAAGCAAGTGAGGTAAAGCTCTCATCTGGCCAACTTTCAAAAAATAAAATCGATATATATATATATGTACATTAGACTACATCACTCCCCATACAAAAAAAAATCGGTACTGTTTTTTCTTTGGAATTATAAAATCTATTATATTTTAAGACGTCCACCAAAATATTTCTTTGCTAATAAACTCATTCAAAGGATGAAAGAGAAAGGTAGGATGAACGAATATCATTCAAAGTTGAATTAAGATGTGTTGGTATTTGAAAAAAAAAATATTGCGACACGAATGACTTTTTTTGCACACAAATAAAAATAGTGGGAAAATACCTTTCTACCGAGATCCCATAAGTCTAAATCAGAATAGTTTTGGCCCAGTCATTCAAGATTTTCGTAATTCAATCTTTGAAAAAAGTAAAAAAACAGCATCAAAAATCTCATTATTACGATTCCGTTGAAAAGATTTTTAAATTTTTTTAATGCTGAATTTTTAAGCCTAATTTGTTTTGTCATCTGAGGGGACTTTTTTCAAAAAGTTCTTTAAGAAACTATTTTTATTCATAAAAAAAAACTCAATTTTTGGAGGTATTTTCAAATCGGTTCAGCTCGCTTAAATCTTTATATTTTTCCGAAATATTTTGGTGGACGTCTTAAAATATAATAAACTTTGTAATCCCGGCGGAAAAACCGGAACTTTTTTTGGTGATGCAGTCTAATGTACATATGTACATACATACATATGTCCTCGTTATGCTGAATTTCCAATTGGCATTGAAACGACAAAAAATATGTGAATTAAACTAATTGACTATTTTTAGAAACGAAATGACGAAAGTATTTTTTCATGCCCAACTTTGTCATTAAAATATTTTTCATTTAATTCCTGGTGGAAATCCGGCCGGCCCTGAATATTTTAAATGTAATAGGTCTGTTCGATGAGTGCACTAGAAGTGTCAAACAGTGTAGTGCAGAGCCACAGCTGACATTTAGCGCAAGAGAAGACATGCGTTTAGTGCAAGAAACCATCACATAACTGTTTTTGTTTGTTAAATATCTTTAGTTGTCGAAACTAATCCTTTTTCTCAGTGTACTTACATATGTGTGAGTACATATTGAAAAGCCAAAAATTTTAATCATCCCATTGTTTTTTTTTCCAGATATCGCGAAGATGCGCTATGCTGGGGTGACAGGTAAGATACTAGTATTTATTATTTTCAACTTGAGCTACAATTCTGGGTTTTTGTATGCCTCTCCCCCATCATGAACTCACTATCTTTAAATATTATACAAATATACATACATACATATGTACTTATGTACACATGTATTTACCTAATCACTTTTTTATAATTTTCACAGGAAATCTATGGAGGAAATCGGAGCTGCTCAGTCCTCGGTCAACGCAAGGTAAGCTGAGGAAGATTTTAATTTCAAATCCTATGCATTAGCATCTCGAAAATAGTTTGCATTTGGTTTTGAAGCTTTTTTCGTTAGTATCGAGTCATTATAATAATTCTTCACAATACTTGAATTCATCCCAAATATATTTTGACTGGGAGGTTCTTAGAGATTTCCTCAACTTATCTTGTGGTTTCTTCTTTCGCTTCGGATTCACTCTTAAAAAAACGACTTCAACTTTGACGGTAACTGGTTTCCAAATGATAATCAAAACTTAAGTATTTGTTGAATCCGAACCCGAATCCCACAAAGAAAAGCGCACTGTTACCAATGAGATCAATAATAGATAATAGATCAGTTCAGTGTCGGATCAGAGCAAAGTTCAACATTGATTTCTTGAAGAAAAGTCGAAGAATTTGTAGCTGTATTCGATATATTTTATTTGCTAGTTTTGTCTCCGCAGGGCCTGGGTTCAAGCCCTGGTCAAAGAAACATCGCGAACGGTCGCTCCTAGGCAGGCAATGGCAAACCACCGAGTGTAATTTTGCCATGAAAAAACAGCTTCTCATAAAAATACAATCGCCGTTCGGAGTCGGCGTCAAACTGTAGGTCCGGTCCGTCCCCTTTGTGTGCCAATATCATACCCACTGCACTGCTCGATCCGGTCGCTAAGAATAGTTATGTATGTACTTTCATCTCCCCTTTACCTTTTATTCTACTGCGGGCGTGTTGCATTGGTGTCTGGATTTTTATTGCATTCAGCTGAATTTGTTATCATAACATTATTGGCTCATCGGCTCATCGGCTCATCGTCGAATCGTCGCGGCCGTTGGCTAACTCCTCTTGCTTGCGGGGCTTAGGTGACATCTAAGCGGGATGTCCTTTGTGTGCTGCCGTTCTTGGCACATCGTTTAAGCTTAACAATGCCAATAATGACAACAACAAAGCATCAACGTTGTCAACAGCATTAAAAGCAACAACAATGTATGTAGTTGTTGTAACACTGCGAATCATAGTAGAAAAAGTACAAATATCAGACTAATTGGATTTATCTGGTGACTGCTTATTTAAAAGTGAGCAGATCAGTGGATGCGTCAATAGCGACGTCTGATTTCTGCGCTGTCAACTACTTTAGCTAGTATCTATAGACGTACATACATACATACATACACATACACACATGTCGCAGGGAACGCATCTCCTCGGCGCACACACACCCGGCCACGCACAAATAGGGAAACAAACGATGCATCGATGTGTTTTTGAAACATCGATAATATCGGTTCAATTTTCGATGTTTGCCATCGATGTTTACAATTTACTAACATCGCGAAATTGACGATACATCGATGGAAGTTTTACCGATGTTTTAAACACCGATTTTAAGGAGACTCTCCGACTTTCTTTCGTTATGTTTGACTGACCTTAAATTTATTATTCATTCAGAATTTTTTTTGTTATTTATTGCCTTATAACAATTATATCCAACAATTTTATTGAGCTTGAGGCCGTTTCTTATGAAAAATGTTATTGAAAATCAAAAGGTAGAAGTTGTAGCCGCTATTTCGGAGATCACCACATCTCCTCAATGACCGCGGTTGAAGAAGTCTGATTAGTAGATGTGGTGATCTCCGAAATAGCGGCTACAACTTCTACCTTTTGATTTTCAATAACATTTTTCATAAGAAACGGCCTCAAGCTCAATAAAATTGTTGGATTTATTCTGAATGCTAATAACCTAGCCGTTAAAACAGAACCAAACACCTCTTAGAATTTCAACAAGATCAGGCCTAGGATCTATAGGCCCGAACGAACTTATGCATTGGTATGCATTTTGATTCTAATAATAGAAAGCGTATAGAAAGGATAATAAAATACAGGAAAATACATCATAGTTATTAAAGTATTCAATATTGTTTTAAATTTAACTAGAAATTAACGAATTGCAAAATATTTAGAAAACTCGTTTTTTTCCGAAACATTAACAGCCAGTTTCGCGAAAGCAATTAAAAAAAAAAAACATTTATTTTATTCGAATTTCATATGAAAACTAACAGAAGCAATCATTTTTTTCACTTAAATTGCTGGTGAATTTTTATTTGAGCTTTACTGAAATTCAATTGTAGTTTTATGACACAGCCCAATAAACAGTTAGGTTTGAGCTCAACTTGAGGTTAAGTTGAGAACTAAGGTATTTCTCAAATCTCCAACGTGGTTTCTCAACAGTACCTCAAGTGGAGGATCATAGCGTTCTCAACAAAAAGGGCATTTTTCTTTGTATGAAAAAAGGACTGTTTCTCAAGTTGAGAAAATGCTAGTTCTCAACTTGAACTCCAATTGAATTCACATTTGGTCTCAAACATATCATTGAAATACTGAAATTGAAATAGTAAAATACCTTATACCTTTCTGATTGACATACATAGATGCATTTAAATATTAATTTTTCATTTTATTACTCCTTTTGTATTATGTAGTTAATCAGTATCGTATTACAATAATTCACTTCATAGTTCACAGTCCGACAGTAATTTTGCCACTTGATTCACTTCGCGTTTTATTTGCTTTCAAGATTATTTGAAGATACTTTGAAGATTATTTACTTTTTGTTGGTAATTTTCCTCTTTATATAGCTTAAGTTTTTCTCTTGATAATTGAAAATTCGTTTCTCTATCACTTTTTACGTATCTGCGCGTCGGCTAGAGATGAGTTGGAGAATGAGGTTGGAGAAATATTTTTTTAGTTTTTATTGTGATGGTTCGAAAACTTGTAGTTCATGGTGAAAGTTGCATGTTACGCATGACTGCATTTTTGTTCAGGCTGTTTCCACGGTAGCAATTAGGGATGAAACGATACCATTCAGGTATCGATACTTTTACTTGGACGTAGTATCGAAAGAAAGTATCGATACCGGGAAAATATCGGATCTAAAGTATCGATACTTTGGGCTATGGAGGTATTCTGTATGAACTAAATAAATTCAATTTTGTTTTTTTTTATGCCATAAGTTAAATATTATCTGGGAATTCTAAACTTCAAAACTACATGTTTATTGATGAATGGTATTTAATACAGACAATTCATTGAAAAAGATTACAAGAAAGTTAATCTTGTTTAAGAAAAAAATTCGCTTATAGATGCTTTTCAGAACATTTTAGAGCAGTGGAAATGTACTATTATGTATGTATGTATGTATGTACATTATGGTAGTCCAAAAATAGTAAAGTCGGAATTTTTAAGCTCTCATCCCCTAAGATTCTTTTATACCGAAAAAAGTATACCCCTATTTTTTATTTTGAAATCAAAAAATATTTTGAGGTCGTTCAAAGTTTTCCATTTATGTATTTTATATTGGGGAAGAAGAACTTTTCGTTGAAATAGTATAGGATTATTGAAAATCAATAATTTTCGAACGGAAAACTTAGGTTCTCTTCAGGAGACTTTCAATAGTAATAGATACGCAATATTGGTCCAACCAACTCAAACAGCAGTCGACTCCGTCGGAATGCCCGTCGAGAGGGAGGGGGAAAAGGGGTGAATTCTATAAATTAGAGAAAATGACCACATGCTTTTAAATTAATTTAATTTATGTATAGGGGCCCGAATTTTCTCTCGGCCGCCCTACCTGTAACTTATAGTTACTAAGACAAAATGGTTAAATAAACAATTGGGTATTATTATTGGGAATCTCGTGCAGAGAGACAGAGTTTTGCGATCAAAAGATATTGATTTTTAAGAATACTATACCATTTCTACGAAAAGTTGTTTTTTCCATATAAAAAAACAAGGAAGACTTTGAGCGCTTTGAGGGGTACATTTTTTCCGGTATAGAAGAATCCTAGGAGATGAGAGCATAAAAATTCCGACTTTACTTTTTCCACAAGCGTTTTTGGACCACCCGAATGTGCATACAAAAATTATGAGCCAAAAGTTTAAATACGATAATTTCAAAGATGTCTGTCTCCTTTCTACTTCACCTGGTAGAATTTCCAATACAATTGGAAGTGTGAAGAGTGTAGAAACAAAATTATACGTATGAAATTTTACTAAAAGAAATTTTTAAAAGCGTTTAAAATATGAAAGATTTTCTAGTTCTCTTTATACCCTACTCCTTTTAATCCTTTGTTTATTTTTTTCAATATCAGAGGTAGATTCCCACTAGCATTAGTATTTTCCGCTAGTCTTTTCAGCGCGAAGTATAGGGCCCTATTCCCAACTATGTATATGACGCCTATAGGGCCACGCTGCGATCGGGCGCAACGCGAGGCATATGGGACAATTATAGGGTGCTGAGGAGGGAAGCGAGACGTATTTGCTGCAATAAGAAAAGAGAGGCTGAAATAAGTGAGTGCGAAGAGATTGAAATGCTGGCCGACAGGAAAAACGCCCGAAAATTTTACCAGAGAATTAGGCGACTTACATAAAAAAATCCGTAGGAAATTTTATTTCAAAATTTTAATGTAGTTGATTGATTAATCCTTATTAAAACATATGTGTGAAGTGAATGTAAACTGAATGTGTAATGTAAGCTGAATGAATGAAATTTGTGGTGATTCAATGATGTAGTGAAACGCTCGTGGAACTCACAGCGGATAAGGACACGATTAAAATTATGTTTCGAAAAAATCTTTAAACATTCAGCAACTTTTGAATAAGCAAAATGAAAATGGGCCAATTTGAGATTAAATTTCCGCCAAAATTACAGTCGAGAGAATCGGCAAAGCAACTCTGAAAAAGTCAGTGCGTTAAGAAGCTTTAGCCTGAAGAGGCGCAATTGCGCCAACACACTCTTCTGATTGCGGCAGTGGCGCTGGAGTTAAGATGACGCCAGATAAAACTACTATTTTCTGATATGACTACTATTTTCTTACTACAAAAATATGTATGTAGAGCAGGCGCATAAAAAATTAATAAATGTGAAGTAAATACATATTAGATACCCTTATTGCACTTAATTAACCTTTGGTTGTTCTATGTTATACCAAAATCGAGAATACCACGAGTACACG